GGTCTCCAGCAGCGAGGAGGCCAGGGCGGCAAACAGAGGCACCTGGGCGGGGGTCAAACCAGGAGGTATTTCTCCGCGCCCTGCAGCGCGAACGGGGGAACTTCGTGGCCGCCGGCCGCTTCCCTGCCTTCAAAGGGCGCTTCGGCCCACCCGTGAAGGAGACATCCCCTCAGAGCTGCTACGTTCAGGGTTTAAGGTCGCCTTTCCTGAAAAAGTTTCAGACCCGCAGAGGGCTGGAAGCGCGCCCCGGGAAGAGTACCGCCGCGGGCTGCTTCTGTTCGTACGGGCTCCCTGGACACCCCCTTCGGCCGTCTCTGGAGGCAGGACGCTGAGCTAGGCAGAGCCTGGGTCTGAGCCGGCCGAGCGGGTCTTGCACCCTGGGGATAGATGCGGCATCCCTCGCTGAGCCACTGCACACGGAAAAAACCAAAACTAAAGCACGTACCTGCCCGCTGCCTCAAACCCCATTAGGAGCAGGGATGCTGAGTACTCTGCATGTGAAAAAAGAAAACCCAACTTCAGTTTCATGTTTCACAATATATAATTACAGACAGTGAAGTAATGCCGGATTTGTATGAAATGCAAGCCTATTTGATCCTAAAGGAAGAATCTATTTGCCCTTCAAGAAAGTGCTCCGAGAACCCTGTTTTTTCTACATTGCAGATCTAGCCCCATAATTGCATCTTCTCGTGCTTCGACCTTACGCTGAAATACAATGCTGTCAGGAACGCTATTTCCTGGCTTTGCTGCAGTAGCAGCGCACTCAGTTTTTGGCATTGCACTGGTGCCAAACCTCATGATAAATTATGTGTGTCAAACACAGCAAATTAGCGCTCAATCTAGTATGGAAATAACAACGAACATACCTCAAAGCACAGCACTTCTCAATCTGATGGGCTGCCCCAGAAACTAAAAACGCAAAGATGAAGTATTTATAGGTATATTCTTAGCCGAGTAGAATATTAAAAATACCATTTAGAAAGCATAGTCATGGAGAAATATGATGCATTGTTACAAAGGAGGAAATTGGATGCATTATTTAACAAATAGTTTTCAAATACTCAAGCAGTACTATTATAGAATAACACTTAGAATACATTACTACTACTGCAAGATAGATTCCCATTCATTCCTCTTTGTCCTGGTTTCGGCAGGGATAGAGTTAATTTCCTTCCTGGTAGCTGGTACAGTGCTGTGTTTTGGATTTAGGGTGAGAACAATGTTGATCACACACCGATGTTTTAGTGGTTGCTAAGTAGTGCTTACACTAGTCAAGGACTTTTCAGTTTCTCGTGCTCTACCAACTGAGAAGGCTGGAGGTGCACAAGAAGCTGGGAGGGGGCACAGCCAGGACAGCTGACCCAAACTGGCCAAAGGGACATTCCATACCATGTGACGTCATGCTCAGTATATAAATTAGGGGAAAGCTGGCCGGGGGGCAATGACTGCTGCTCGGGGACTGGCTGGGTATCCGTTGGTGGGTGGTGAGCAATTGCATCGTGCATCACTTATTTTGTATATTCTTTTATCATTATTATTTTCCCTTTCTTTTCTGTCCTATTAAACTGTCTTTATATCAATCCATGAATTTTACTGCCCCACCCCCCCCCCGATTCTCTCCCCCATCCCACTCGGGGGGGGGGGGGGGGGAGTGAGCAAACGGCTGTGTGGTGTTTAGCTGCCTGCTGGGTTAAACCACAACACTCTTAGAATCTTTCATCTTATGAGTGCATATAGTATTTGCATTCTGATTTTTATACACTCAGTTGTATGTAGTAAATACTGGTAAAAGGATCATAATCCCCAGAGAAATTATTACTGCTTAATTTCTGCTGTGTGGACCATTTCCTGGTATGTCTGAACCTGAGCTTCAGTGCTACTGTCTGCCAAAATACACTTTACAACAAAAAGGCCATACTAAAAGCTTGGCATGTGGGTTACCTACCAAGCAAAGCTACAAGATGACTGCTCAGAGCGAGCACAGCTGGCATCTTCGGTGTTGACTAATTTATGAAGAAATGAAAACTTGAGGGAAAGAAATGGCAACTTGCCACCTCAGGGTGAGGATATTTCACTAGAAGCAAACTCGGACTGCTTTTTCCTAGCAGGACAGATTAACTTTTGCATGTATTGTATTGAAGAATAATACAATTGTTAATCAAAACTCATTGTTAAACAGTTTTGTTTAAGCCAGAATGAAAACAGGGCTGTCGATCTATATGTTAATAAGCATTCATCACAAAAGATGTTTTACCTCTTAAACCAGTAATAGAAAGGTATGTAAACTCTGCTAAAAAGATCACACAAACAACTGAGTTAACATTCAACCCAACTGCGGAAGCGGAAACCCCTGAAAATGACAATTTTTTAAACCTCCCGAGTCTTGCCTGCCCACTGGCTGAATTTTTTTCTTGCAAACAAAATAATTGACTAACTTAGTTGAAAACTACATTGTGTATGAAGAGAGAAAACATACTGTATTCTATCTTCATATAACCATTTTCCAAGTTACTTTAAGTTGTATAATACACTAAAATTGCATTAAAAGAACAAAGATTTGTTCCGAAGTTTACAAGCATCTATTGTGAAGCATACGCTAGCTTCAATGCCCTAACTCCAGACCTCAGTAGGAAAGCCTGGAGACAGTCATCTTTTCATTTCTTCCAAAAGTATCACAGTCCAGTCTTTCCAATTTTCGTAACAGAATGAATGAGATCATTAATTACATTCCTGGCCCTCTAATACTACTTAAAGCATCCTCTAATACTACTTAAAGTGTCTCAACATTTTATTTTGCAAAATTTGAGCACAATCAACTTGCTCAGGTGCAAATTCAATTAAACTTGTACGTAACTCTGGTATTCAGTTTGCTTGAATTGTTTCTTTCATGTCATCTTTATCCGAAATCAGAGTCCGGTAAGAAAGAACTCCATCTACTTTCTTTCAATGTTTCGGTTTTGGGTTTTTTTTTTAAACTTCTTGAGCTTCATTAATTATTGACTTATGTTTTTATTCTCTTCATTTCTTTCCCAACAGGAAGTGAGAAAGATAATTTTCCAACTTCAGACCTTCTAGCAGCAGTTGGTATAACTCGAATGATGGACAGTATTACTTTATTTTCAAACACAGGTTGAGCATGTTTGGAATGGGAGGCTTACAGGAAGGTAGTTTCTTATTTGAGACGCAGGTCATACAAGGACCTGCTAATTCTTATCAGGCCATTTCGTAATGGACTTTAGTCTTAATTGAAACTGTCAAGTAAGATTAGACTTCACATTTAGGCATAGAAGGCAATATGGTGATCAGAACAGATTCAGTGAGCTAGAACGTAGGGTATTTTTACATGAAAATACTTCTGCTAATCTGAGGAAAGTTTAATACTACTACTACTACAAAAAAGAACTTTTTGCAACTGGGCTTTCTACCTCGGAGTCCATTTTCATACTGCTAGAAGCAGCCTCTTCCATAAACCGTCCACGTTGCTAAGAGGGGAGCAGGAATAAAATTGGCTTAGATTTTCACATTTTTTCCTCCTACTTTGAAAGTGAGAATTTTTGGCAGGCTGTTCAATACAGACAAGTATTTGATATGTAGATCATTTTGGGGTGTTGGGGTTGGTTGTTTTTTTTTTTGGGGGGGGGGGGGGTTGTGTTGTTTTGTTTTTAAACTCACTGACTAGGTCAATACAAACCCCTCATGGGACTGGCTTGATTTTAAGATTGATATTGCAGACCTCACTGAAGGCCTTTGCATTGTTGCCCTCTTCATTTTTAACTCACCATAGCTAGTTAGTTCAGTTACAGGGAACAACCCCAGGTTACACAAACATCGAACTTTTATAAAAATCAAACTTATGTAGTACCAAGGGTAGATCACAAATTTTCAGGCAAGATCAGAAACCATATTCTTGTCATGGGAACTTTGAAGATCAGAATCATTTGCAGTGCTTCTATGGTTACGCCTTGTTCTTTGTCTTCAGCGGTTGCATTTCAGTTAGTAACTTTTTTCTTTTTTTTTTTTTAAATAACTGTAGGTACATTCTGCTTTAGACTTAGTCACATTTTTCCACCAGACACTCACTTCAACTCAGTCTTGGACATTGTAACCCTTATTTTCCCACTGCAAGTAGGGCATCTGAGAGAAAGGTGCAGTCAGTAACACTTCCTGTGAATCCAATCCAAACGCCAGCCACATTCATTGCTCTATTTGATGGATTCAAACAGATAATACACGCTTGCAGATGTTACTTGACCCTAGATTGTCCTGGCCTTTCCTCCCATGGAGATTTCTATAAAAAAAAAAGACAAGGCTTGTATTCTTCAAGGTTTAACATTCATAATTAAAGCAAAACCATGCTGCTGAGAACCTAGTTTCAGTACCAGTGTGACCTTGGGAGGCAAAGGCTGTGAAGGATCCTTCACATCCATTATAAGCTGGTAACTCTTCCCTCTGACTCAGCAAAGCACAATCGACAGCTCCCCAAATAGCCCGATGCAGTTAAAAAAAAAATACCTGAGGTGACAATCTGCTTTGTTACAGGGATGTAGATTTTTACAAGAAATCAGAAGGAAGTTGGTCTCACACTAGAGAATTTGTTTGGAGAGCTCTTGCATAAGAGAGAGACATATCCTAGTTCCCCAATTTCCTCTCTCCAGGAAAGACTCGTTCATAAGCAGACCCTTGTAACAGCAGCAGCCTCCAGAAAGCTAATAATCTCTCACACTTTGGGCACTGCCTCAATTGGGTAAGACTTGGAAAGCGCCAAACTGGCACTCAGAAAGCGGAGGCATTGCTCTTTGTATTTCTGAACCCTGGTAGTGAATACCTCTGAAGGATGCCACTGAAGAACCAGGTCACAGGTGGTCAAATCCAAATTCAACAGACGACACTGACCACCAGGACAGTGACACTGCCCCGTGAAGTGTCAGACAGGGACGCCATGGTTTCATCTTCAAACACGTGACATATGGGCAACTTGTAAGAAATACAAAATCCAAGGATCTCCGTAGTTATCGACATGACGATAAGACAAACAAGCATGAGTGAACGAAGAGTTTACAAATTTGACCCAATATTTTAAGCTCTTACAAGCATTTTAAGCTCCTCAGGCACTCTATCTGTCAGGCATACTGCCTGACAAGTATTTACTGCTACAGGCTCTCAGAGAAAAAGTGTAATTATAACAGAAACTAATCAGACAGCGATTCTTATCCTGGTGCACTTGAGAAGATCAAAGAAGCACAAACAGCTATAGTCAGTAGAAAAAAGGTAAGGCATTGAAAAATATTTGAAGGTAAAGATAGAAAAATACTTTGTTTTTAATTTTCCACACAGCCCAAAAAGCAACATTTCCTACTTGGAAAAAGATAGGGATTATGAATGAAGCAGAATATATTTGCATTTCAAGTGACAAAGTTTAAAAATCAAAATATTTTAATAACCAGTAACTGGGAGACATCCCCTTACTCACTCACTACATTTTGGACTAGCAACTACTCTACCAGTGAAAGCCAGTTTAACAGTTTCTGTGACTTTTCTGCCTTGCAATATACAAAGGTACATACCATTATTCTATAATTCCAGCAATATAGATACAACACTGTAAATAAAATGTTAACAACTTTTGACTATTTAAAGTCCTGTGCTGCCACACTGTACTATGCAAACAAATTATTATAAGGAGTTACAGAATGCTAGCACACTGGAAACGTTGCCTCATGCCACAGTTTGTACAGACTTATAAACTGCTAGCTTAAAAAGATTACACAAGTAATTCAGTAAAAATGTTCATGTGTTTATGTGATAAATCAATAGTGTTGTTTAAAGCTGGCTATAGATTAAGCTATTGGACCGTGAATAAACAACTTTTTGTAACAAATATGCAATCCCAGAAATAAAACTCACTTAAACTGCATTCACACTTAATGAGAATATGTCTTTTCATCCAGATGAAAATAAATGCATGTTCAAGAACAAAATAAAATCTCTTAATTAAATGGTTTGCAGAATTTATTAGGTCTTTTTTAATATACTCAATACTTTATCAAGCTAGTTGCATATAAAGTGATCTCCACCATATACATTACAATTTCTGTGCATCACCTAAAAAAAAAGTCACCAAAAAGTAGTATTTTACAGGTTATAGTTAACTTTGAATTAACCTAAAAGTGAACCCTTCTGTAATTTGATTTGAGACACTAAACCGCACATTGCTTCTAACTGCAATATTTAAATTAGGTTTCACAGCAAGCTCAACCTGCATTTCAATGAAAAGAGGTTACTGCCATCTCAACTTCTGAATTTCTATAGTTTACTATCTTAACACCGCAAAAATTTAATGTGGTGTTTACTCCAAATAAGGAAAAAGTATATGACAATTCCTTTACAACAAAGCCTGCTCAGAATACATATGCCTCAAGAAAGTTAGGAAACTCCTCCAGTAAAAGGAATTCACCCAGATTTGTGAACGGAAAAAACACTTTAGGTTCTTCTGGATTAGTGCTTGGAGCTGCTCATAAAAAGCAAAACCAGCAAGCACAATAGGTAAACTAGTATTGGATATGACTTAAAGCAAAGAAAATTAGGAAAAAGCAGATTCTACCTGCGACAAACATTTCTCAATTTAGAAGAAACTTTAAAAGGGACTCACGCAGATAATGAACAAATAGGTTTTCTGATTATCTTCATAGGATGCTAGTTTACTGGCCAGGCACATATATTGTAAATATACAAAGAATCCAGAGTGCTGAAATTTACACAGCACTTAAAGGATTTAACATAACAGCGGTGGGTAGGACACAGGAAAAATATTTAACAACTTATATAAATATATTAAAATCTCAGCAAGAAATGTAAAAGCCCATGCGCACAGGACAGTAAATTGAAAACACATTTAAGACTTGACTTTTCCTTTCAACAGCACTGACACCTGAATTCCAGAAAGTTAACAATTTACAGTATAACAGTCTTTCTCCACACAATCTATATGTACTGAATCATACCAACATTACACAGCACATGAACAAGCAGCAGATGCATCAAGGGAACAGGAGCTATATGCATCGTGTGGCCTGCCCAGTTAGAGGCAAATATCAGAAAAATCGTTTCTGACATAGGCAGAGATACAATCAATATAGCTAATTGTATACCCGTCATTTCCAAGAGTTATTCCACAGTATGGGAAAGGGGAGCTTTAGATAAAAATTATGTACCCAGCCTCAGAAGTGACAGAAGCAGAGATTTATCTTTCAAAAACTGGGTCCGTTCTGGACTGGCCTTGATGCACATGCAGTACATTTGTTTTCAGAATGCAAGATTAATTGGGAATGTCTGCACTAGTGTTTCGATTTCCGTATTTGTGATGGATGATCAGCAATACAACTCCTAAGAAGAAGCATATGGACCCAACAGTGATATAAGCAATTCCCAGAAAGGGATTTTTGCCTCCCATCCACGAGATGGTGCTTAGGATCATTCTTTTTCGTCCATCAAAACTGTGTACAGGATAATCTGAAAAACATATAGGAAAACAAGAAGCGCATTTCCAAATCTAGCTTTTGGTGGTCAGACACATTAAAATTTTGGATTATTTCATTCAGGTTCCAAATACAAACTGCCGCCTTTGAATACTGGAAGTGCAAATAGCCACGTTAGGAGATGTTAACCCCTTTTTAAGGGAAGAGCAAATGCGCGATTTTGTGGGGTTTTGAAAGCAGCTTCAATAAAATGAGGGAAATCTAAATTTTAATTCTTGAATATATTTTAGTACAAAATTTTTCTTAGTGACTTCACGTTTATTGTTTTATATGCACTCCCCACAGTTTCGCAGCAAAGGAAAATACTGCAATAGCTATTTAAAAATTATCATTAAGTGCTTTTGAATTTTAAGAATTCAGTAACTATGACAACCCTCCTCCTCTAGTCTCCTGCACTTCTACCTAGTCTTTAGTTTGTCCAAAACAGAATGACAGACCTCCCACCTGATCCACAGCTCTGACATTTTTCTGACCTCCAAAGTCAGCCTGCCCTTGATTACATATTGTCATTACACCCTGAAGTTAAAGCTCTCAAGTTTCTAGGCTACCAACTACCTCTGTTCTTTCCTTTTTCCTGTGCTTCTCTCAATTCCTTTACACCACCCAAGCAATCTGATTTCCCTCTCACTATGAAGCTACTCATTTAATTTTATACACAGATTCGAGTAATTGCACAGCAGAGCGGGCTGCTCTGGAGCAAGTCTACAAGTAGAGAATAATCTCACAACAATACATGGAGCCACAGAAGGACCCAAAGCAGGCCCTGAACTGCTGAATGAATGTTAATTCCTGAACCTGTGGGAAACGTCTCTCCCAGATATTCAATATCCTTCAGTGTCAAAGCAGTAATTAAAAGTCCATAGGGAAGCACAGGAAGGCATCAAAAAATTAGTAGTGCATATGCTGATGAGTAAAAATGCACACTGCAAATTCGCCACATTATAAACCGAAGAGTAAAGAAAGCGTGCCCATATATAGTATTTTGCAGAAACTAGAACCTGGCTAACTGTTACTTAGGCCATTTAACAGATTTCAGGAAGGCTTATCAGCTCACCGGAAGGCTAAGCATCACCTGAACTACGCTTAAGCATCTTCCTGTCAGCCAAAATGCAGGCAGCCTGCCCAAAAATTATCAGATGGAACTGCTCCCACCCATAGGCTTTAGCCTCTATCCCACGTGAGGCAACTATTGGGGACCGCAAGTACCCATAAACATGAACGAGATGTGTGAGAAAAAAGTGAATGAGACCGACCATACGCCTGTGAGAATTCAAGGTAAGTGTACAGAGAAGACACTAGTGTCCTCCAAAATTTGCCTACTGGGTAAATTCTACACTGAAATCTTCCCTAGGATTACCATCTCCATTATATCCTCACAAAGGCCTCCTCCAAAGAGTTGGACTTTTTTTTTTTTTTTAACGGAACTGAATGTTTTCATCCTGGTTAAAAAACGTAGTTTTACATGAATGCAGTTTTATATGAACTACAAAATACCTTAAGAATGTTATGATTAAAACTGCACTTACATTAAAAAGTGTTAAGTCTAGCCCAGTCATTTCATTCATGAAGCTTAAAAACTGGACTGGATTTCACGTTCTAACAGGCCACACACAAGTTAATTCTATAAAAACTTGCACAGAAGTACAAGATGGTAATTATTCTACCCAATTCTCACTACCAGTTTTCAGCCACAGCTCAGTGGCTCTCTCTCTAAAAGAGATGGTAAGAAAAAAAGCGTAGTTCAATTTGAACTTGCACAAATATACGCCTGTGTAATCCAGCTAAGGTCCTTAGCTGCTTTCAAAGGTTTTTCAAAGGATACTGTATGTGATATTCAAAAAATATTTTCCAGCCTGTAAGGTAGGCTGTAAGTTATTCTTCCTTTCAATGAGACGATACAGCTTGCGAAATGTTGGCAGAGCAGCAGTACGCATCCACACAATGAAGTCTTCATTGATAAAGCCATTGTTGTCAGGCTCCACGTCCAGCATATACACTGCCTTGGGCCAGTTTACAGGTTTTGTTGTGCCTAGGATTAAACAAAAGTAGTAACAATAAAGTATTTCAAATACAGGACTAAGTAACACACTGGCTCTTCAAAGTTCATTCTAATATTACAAAAAACCATACTAACTTCTAAACAGTATGAACAGACAGGTTGGCTCACTACTATTGCAAGACACTGAAACAGTAGTGCACATCCATTTATTCTCATGGTAGCACCGTCCATTCGATTAAACCAATTTGCCTCCCCTACACATTTATGTAGCTAGGAAGTCTTGTCTCAAAACATTACTCTACCTTAGTGAGATAATTCTCCATTATGATGATAGCTCCTCTGCTCACTTGTTAAGAGTTTGACTACCACTTCCTGGACTACGAGCAAATAAAATTATGTGCAATATTTTAGATGGTGCCATACTAATGCTGTCGCTAATTTTATTGGAAATACAATTCTACGTTGTATTAGGGTAAGGTATCTGC